TGTGGTCCCTGCCGAGGCCTCGGCACCTGCCCGGCCGGCAGCTCCCGCTCCTGAGCCTTGTCCCCGGAGGATTCTGTGTAACTTCTGAGCTTTCAGTTGTCGGTTGCTTTCCTCAAAACGCCTTCCTCCCGGGAAGCCCTGAGATGACGTGACCATCACCTCCTTGTTTTTCCAAAGCAACGTTGGCCCCGAAAACCCGAGTCGCATCTACATCGCCATAGAGCCGGCCCAGCTCCTGAAAGGGGACGTCATGGTGAGTGCTGGCCCCCTGCGCCCCTGGCCACCGCTCGGGGGGAAAGTCACCCTGAAACAGGGACAGGGAACCTTGGCCCCAGAAACCTGTGTGAAGGGGGGAGCAGCCGTTACCTCAAGGCCGTTGATTAATCTGAGGGAAGCCGCTTTACCGAGAGGGACAGAGTATATCCCAGCTGCTCAGTGCGTGTCAGCCACTGCCCTCCCCGTGGCCACATCCACGACCACTCGGTGCGTGTCAGCCACGCCCTTCCCACGGCCACATCCACGACCACTCGGTGCATGTCAGCCATTGCCCTCCCCACAACCACGTTCACGGTCACTCAGTGCATGTCAGCCACTGCCCTCCCCACGGCCACATTCACGGCCACTCGGTATGTGTCAGTCCTCACTTAGCAGGAAGGACAGACAGCCCAGGCGACCCCGGGCCCCTCACGCTGCCGTCCACGCCCCACCGTGAGCCTGTGTTGTCCCCGCGGCCACATTCACGGCCACTCGGTGCGTGTCAGCCACTGCCCTCCCCGCGGCCACGTTCCCGACCGTGAGGTGCAGCCTTTGTTGGTCAGAGGCCTTCAGGGGAGGATATAAGTCGTGGACCTGCCTTTAGCAGCCGAGTGTGAGATTCAGCGGGGTCATCGCGGGGCGGGCTAGTGCTCAGACGCTGATTCCTCGAGCAGGTTCTGATTCCTGGGCTGGTTCTCAGGTGGACCAGCTGGCCCATCGTGGCCTTTCATGCATCCTGACCATAGAAAACATCCTACGTGTGAAGTGATTCTGGGAGGCGGGTGCAGAGATTAGCTTGTGTGGAGCTTGTGTGGCCCAGGACAGTGACACGGTCCAAGGGATAGCTTTTTGTTTTATTACAAATGATTCATTAATCGTTTGAGGATTCTCATGAATTTCCCCTAAAAATATGGGTTTTAAGACTGTTTCTTAGTGGCTGTGAACTCCATCGTGTCCCACCTGAATTCTCACAGTATCAAGCCAGTGGGGTCAGGAGGACACAGACCCCTGGGCACACCGATACCCTAGGCACCCTGGGCACCCACACCCTGGGCACCCCCACACCCTGGGCACACCCACACCCTGGGCACACCTACACCCTGGGCACCCACACCCTGGGAACCCCCACACCCTGGACACACCCACACCCTGGGCACCCACACCCTGAGCACCCACACCCTGGGCACACCACACCACAGGCACCCACACCCTGGGCACACCCACACCCTGGGCACCCCCACACCCTGGGCACCCACACACCCTGGGCACACCCACACCCTGGGCACCCACACCCTGGGCACCCACACCCTGGGCACACCCACACCATGGGCACACCCACACCCTGGGCACCCACACCCTGGGCACCCACACCCTGCACACACTTTCTAGGGGAGCAGCCCTCTGGCTGGGGCCTCAGGTCTGTCCAGCCTCCCCGGCCACTGAAAGGGAGGGGTCATGGGGGAGGGGCCTGTGGGGGAGGGGCCTGGGAAAGAGTCCCCTCAGGTCCTGAGGGGATGAGAAGGGGTGGGGCAGCAGCAAGGCATCGAGCTGAGCGCTTGGCCACCCCAACGCCCCAGCGAAAGCTCTGGCGTCCACTCCCCAGCGGGAGCACTGAGGGTCCCATCCTGAACCCACGTTCTCAGCCGCCGAGGAGCCGGGACGGGAGGCGAGGTTTCTCGTGGCTGGGCTTACTTTTTTGTTTGTTTTTTAAGTATATTTTTATTGATTTCAGACAGGGAGGGAGAGAGAGAAACATCAATGATGAGAGACAATCATGGGCGGGTGCTTCCTGCGCACCCCGCTGAGTCCTCCTCGCCTCTCCTGTGAGGCCGTCACGTGGGTCAGGCCCTGGTGACCTCCCCACCACCACCTCCTAGCCCAGTGATGGCGAACCTTTTGAGCTCGGCGTGTCAGCATTTTGAAAAACCCTAACTTAACTCTGGTGCCGTGTCACATATAGAAATTTTTTGATATTTGCAACCATAGTAAAACAAAGACATATATTTTTGATATTTATTTTATATATTTAAATGCCATTTAACAAAAATCAACCAAACAGTGAGTTCGCGTGTCATAGGTTCGCCATCACTGTCCTAGAGGCACAGCTCTGAGCACAGCCTCAGCCGCGGGGCAGCGCTCCAGCGTCCGAATCCGGGGGCGCAGGTCCGCCTGTCTCCCTGTGTTCACCCAGCAAACCCTCCTGGAAGGTTCCTAGTGAGGCCGGTTCCCTGGGTCCCCCGGCACCGCCCGTGAACGGCCCGGCAGACCCACTCCCCGAGCTCAGATTCCAGGGGCTGGGAGGTGCAGGGGTCTGCGGGCCAGGGGCCTGGTGTGACTGCCCAGGCGCAGGGACGAGCTGCAGGTTCCTAGGTGGGAGCGGGGCTCCTGGGCACAGCCCAGGACCAGGGGCCCCTGAGGTCCCGCCCCTGCCTGAAATGACCTGAGGGATCCGCGCAGGAAGAAAAGATGCTGGGACATTCCCGGGAG